TGGAACTGTTTAAGGACGTTTTTCTCATTTTTGCAGACTTCGAAACTTAGTTCTTCTTCAAATATTTAAAAGTTTAGTATAGAGCATTCTCCATTGTTAAAGAAACATTCAGCACATCCCGGTCCAATTTACCAAAAAATGTTGACAAAGTCTCCGCAATGAGAGCTATTTCGCGGACAGGGCTATTGTCAACAAAAGTTCTGATAGTGACTTGAAAAATGAATTTTTTATACATTTATAAAAATGCTGCAGTATCCCAAAACCGAGTAAAAAGGCCGACGGATAATCATTTGTTGAAAATTTAAAGTTTAAGATAAGATATTCATAGAAATACTAGGGAAAACAGCAACTCTCACGACAATATTTCCATTGATGAACGGGATGCACTAACAGACTTTCGATCCAACAACAACATCCTCATCAAACCTGCAGATAAAGTGGTCATCATGAATATATAAGCCACCTTTAATCTATAAACTCAGAGTCCACTTAGCGATAAAAGATCCTAGTATTTAAAACCAGTGTCGGACTACACTTGTATATCGAGAACAGAAATAACAGATTTGGTAGAAATGCACGAAGAGAATTATCTAGAATATTTGAAAATCAATATCCAAAAGTTTATACAAGATTTTGGAAAACTGTATATCATTTCATACTAGAGACACTACTAATTACTTAAGGATAATGAAGGCATTGAATCATCTCATAGTCGACGATTTTTTATGACCGTAATCAATAAACGTGTAACTACGAATCCCATTTTTTGTTAAAAGGTCTTTGATTTATGAGACGATGTTGTCGATTTTCAATAGAGCATTGGGAATAATAGTTAAAAGTTAGACAAATCAGAAGTTTTAAATTTCTGCAAAAAATTAAAGTTTGATGTAAAAGATTTTGGGGAAGTTCCCTTTAAGAATCCACATCTGATTTACTATGTTGGTTGAATATACCTCATCACAATATATCTGGAGGTCATCTTTTTCTGTAGAAAGAAAGTAATAACAATAACAAGAATTGAGACATATTTATCCCTCATGCGACTAAAATTCATACTCCCATAAAAATTTACTCCCGAGATATCGAATCGCAAAGTTACTTTCCTTGATAATTCCAACTCTTTTACAGAGGGCATAATATACAAAATCGTGTATTCAAAACATACTGCCATCAACCAATACTGGTCCCACAACAGCAGCCATATTGTTATTTTTACTAAAAGTGCACTATACAGGCAAGCGAATATGTTTAAACACAGAAACAAAAATAAACTGAGTAAACTAAAAAGACACTCGAAGGGAATGATTATAAACACCAGACTATTAAGTCACGTTTTCAGGAAGTAGAGAGTATCTCAATGAGCAAGTTGCTACTATTAGATATCGACAGTGTCGGAAGCACTTACAGCCTCGTTTTTTTGAGGACTTTTAAAATTACGGATTAAAAGACACAGCTACCTGTGTTAATATACACTATCACACACTTAGGTTTTCATATTGTATTATTGCAAAGATGTGAACTGACAAAGGCCATTAGTTGTGCTTATAATGTTTCATTTATCTAGATCGTTCAAACTTATCTTATATATTTAATATTTCAAATATCATTTTGCAATCCTAACGGTTTACAATTAACATAATTCTAACTCATTTGCCATAGTTGAAAACTAAACATATAAGTTTATCGCTTTCATGTATCACCTCACATTGAAAAACTACGAACCAACAATGCACTATGGTCATCTGATAACAACATGTACGTGGTGGATGGAAAGGTATTCTTCGATTGTTTCACAATTTCAATGGAACTATTTTCAATTATTATTTCCGTTATGTTGAAACAACATAGCCAGAAATTAGTAGTACTTTTGCTAATTAATATTCATAATATGTAAATGAGAATCGTACCACATGATAATAGTTTGAACTGGGCTGGCTTGATATCATTAAAATTTTTAAAACACGGATATTATAAGTTGCCCGTCACAGAGTCATTGTTTATAATCACGCTGATATTTCCGTAAAGTTGTCAGGCGGTCAAAATCAAAACAATGAACGCGAATTTAGTGAATATTTCGTGTTTTTGTGAGTTTATTCTTCTTGAAATAGAGGCATTTTAACTTTACGTGGGAACCTAGAGTTCAACGACTACACATACAAGGTTTGGAGTTTCTTATTCTTTGGACATTCAAGTTTCAAGTTTCACCCCGGCAACCTGTATTTCTAATGACCTTGTTAGCCAATTTTCAACACGAAGTTTGCAAATTTGACGTTTCAGCAATTTTAGCCTGTATTTTATACTGCAATGTTAAAAGCCTCTCGCTTCGATTTTTAAAATAGCTCAGGAACCTTGATTTTTGCAACGCCAGTCATTATATTTCGTTTAAATGGTGTATATTGTTGTGTATATTTATTTTCTGCCCCGGCAACCTGTCTATCACTTAAATCAAAGTTAAAACAGACATTTTTTCTAAATTCCCTATCATTTCAATATAATTTCCGTGACCCGTATCCGGTTTCTTTAGTATAATATTCAAATAAGCAAAGCGGCGTTGATTTCTGGATATGAAAGAAAAACTTTGCAAAAGTTGCAGATGAAAAAGTCCCATTTCCATGCACAAGGACTTCTTTCTTATTTTCTATCAGATAGATTTATTCATAGTTTTAACCTTATATAACCTTTGGTTAAGATTAAACAAAATAAAACGCAATGTCAAAACTTGACTTATGAAAATCATTTGATTCGAGTTACGCATGTTTTCAAATATACGTATATATTTCGATACGTTGGTTATGTGTTCATTTGAAAAATATCTTGAGTAAGTACTGAAATAAAATATCTGTTTTATCTTAATATACTAAGCAAGCACCTCCTACCAGTTATAAACAGATAATCCAATTTTGTGGAAGTCAACTTAGCTTAATGTATTTGGATACTTTTTATTTTGGCAATTGTATTTTGAATCCATCCTTTTGTTTCAGATACCAAGCGCCATATCCAGTGATTTCAGATATCGGTTAATGACTTAAAAGAAGCCATGAAGAAACACTTTCCTTTATTGTATTCGAATTCTCAATTTGACTAACCAAGAATAATATCAAAGAAACGCAGATAATGTTCTTCTCGTCGGGGATCATGAAGCGTTTGTCCTAGATATCAAATAAATAAACAAATGTTTCCCTTTAAGGCTGGAGGTCATAAACGTTTAATCAACTCTACTCATGACTTGTATTGTAGCATGCCAGTATTCTATATTAATTTCTATAATTTCTCAATTAATTAAAAAGGATTTCATTTAATGGTCATCGATTACACAATTTGAAGACATCTGTAAAAAAAGAGGCTGAATATCCCAGAAAATTTATTAACTCATAAGCCGCGAAAAGACAGACAAAACAAACGCAAACCGGAAAAATGATAAAATGAAAAAAAACAAATGTCTACAAAACTTAACAGATAACTAAATATAGTTCAATAAATTGAAGTTAAAGTAGGTTGATAATTATGCATCTTGATTCCTCACGTTCACAAAATCATTTGACGTTGACCCTTTCTTGATATAACGTTCGAAAAACAACTACATTTATCGATATTAATCAAATTCTTGAGAAAACCTTACGACTAAACCACTTTACAGAAGTTGATGAAATTACAAGACAATTTTGCAGTACATCATATACACATCAGCACTCCATGTTTAAATTCAATTTAATATGAATAAATTTGAAGATGTGCTGTGTAGCATCCACGAAATTTGACAGACTTTTATTGCATTATCGTGAAAATATTGCGTAGTGGTGTAAGTCACGATTTATTACATACTTGGTTTTTTAGATGTATGTGATTTTTACAGTTTGCTTGTTTTCGCCGTTTTATAAGTAAATCATTTAAAAGTGTAGACTAAATCAGAAATTATCTGAATGGAGTTAAGGTGTTACTTTTAGTTTTTGATCTGCATTTTATTCATTTTGAGTCATTTAATTTTTGATTATTTAGGAAGGGATTAAAACGATGCAATCCCCACACAGTTCGTGCAATTCTTCCAATCACACCAAGTATTTTATCAAAAAATAAAGGAGGAATTCGATTTTGATGATGATAATAGTTACACATATTGGTCCATTTTTCTTTCTGTTTTTTTATATATAGGAAATCCAATTTAGTTAAGCCAGTAGATGATAGCTCTAAATGTTTACATAGAGAAGATATTTCAGTTTTTAAAGATTGTTCATTAGTTCAATTTCATTGGTCTAAGACTATACAGTTTTGGGTAAGATATTTAGAAATACCAACTGTTAAGACTGTATCTTCTCCGTTATGTGCATAAAGTGTGCCTTTAAGGCCATGTGTAAAATATTTCCAGTTTCAGCTTCTTCCCAAGCTTTCCTTATATAATCTGGTAAACAAAATTAAGCCAGTGTCTTACAATATGCTGCAAACTTAAAAAAAAAACATTATTGACAAAATTGGATTAGATCCAACAGGATACTCATCTTATTGTTTCAGAAGAGGAGGTGCAACTTGTGCATTCCAATGTGGTGTATCTTCTGATCTCATTCAATTACAAGGGGATTGGAAGAGTGACGCCTATAAGTTGTACCTTATATATGGTTTAGCTGATAAATAGCAAGTTTCATCAAAAGCGATTGGATGTCTGTGATATATTTCCATATGTCTTCCGTTGGAATTAAATTTTTACTAGTTGTTAATAATTTATATTATATTGCAGGTTTAAAGGCTTGGGATAAACCCAGCATTGTTATTTCTGATTCTATTTTAAAGTATTTTACCATAGATGAGAAACACGCAACTACAGGCTTTTGGTGGACTGAGTTGTTAAATGCTCCTAAGAAAATCAAGAAATAGGGTATTAGGGTATTACCTTGGTACCATTTTATTATTATAATTTTGCATGTGGGTACGAATGACTTATTCAATATAAATGCTAGTCTAATACAAGACAGAATCTAATCGGGATATAGCTAGACAAGACAATACACTTTATTAGCCTCTAACACGTTTATTTTACGAGCGGTTATGCATTGGTAACAAAGAGAAACAGACTTTATACGAACACACAAACACTACAGATATTTAATAGAACAATTAGAAGAACGTTCTTGTAGCAGAAAAAAAGTGTTTGTTCTTCATTCAATAATGTTTTGAAAAAGAGGCGGAACTTAAATCTTCTCTTGATTCCAATTTCTAGAGTGCTTCTGTTGTATCTGTAAAAAGAAATGTATATATCTGTATTTTGTACCTATTTTAGTTTTTGTTTTGTATCAGCGACATTATATTTTTCCTACTTTTGGAAAGATTATCGTCGTTTTCTCTCTCCCCATTGTAGGAACATGAATTCTACATTGTTTTCTGTTCTTATCCAGATTTGAACCCAAAAAGCTTTACTGGTTAAAATTAAAGTATGGTCATGTCCTGACCTCTTCTACCTGCCAGTAAAATTCTTAATACAGTTAGGCGTACGTAGTGGTGTACGGTATACATAAATACACAACAACGTCCTTTGCCTTTTGTAGGGTGAATATCTCGCTCTCTGCACGTTAAATCAACCCTCTTTATATATCTGTAGATACAAGTAAAGTGGTCTTATCTGTAATTGTGTCCTATTTCAGATGCGACATTTTGACTGATTGTGAATTCGCATGGCGGGTGATGCATGTATAACACAATACGCTTACCCTGTCGACGCACCTGGTCTCGCTCATTTTCAAGTAAATACAATTCTATCAATTTTTGTTTGTTACTTTGATTTGCAGTGAAGAAATAAACTTCTGATATTTCCGTAATTATATTCAAAAGTACAAGCAACATGTTCTTTTTATAAAGATAATTACATATTATTAGGTCAAAGAGTTGTTAATTACATGTAAAATATATTGAATACACTTAACAATTATACGAGAAGTGTTTTGATACCCGAGTATATCTTAAATAATGCAGTCGTATATTATGATAGATAAGCAAATAGATAAATCAAATTGATAAATTTGATAAAATGAATTATATAGATAATTATACAAATGTATCATGTAAACAGAGCTGCTTAAAACTGTTTTTAAAATATAACTGTCGGTATCTGTTCTAGAGATGAACTCTCATGATCAATTCTAAAATTGCCCAAAACCGTTCTAGATCTATGCAAAACTGTTTTAGTGAACAACTGAAAAAACAGGATAAAGGGTATATCTGTCCAAAACTGTTATATAGCAGAACTGTTTAAAACTGTGTCTAAAAAACTGTTTTATACTTCGCCAATATTGCGGGGTTTTTTTGGGGTTTTTTTTTTGTTATAATTTAGTCTTAAGCGTACTTATTTAAAATGATTATTCCTGAAGGATAACAGTTTTGCAGTACTTCTAGTGAGCCCATAACTGTGCTCGATTGTTAATTCAATTCCTATTGTTGTTGTTGCCCAATACCTAGGCAGCGATATTACCACAAGTTCAATGATATATGTACGCTACTTAAAAATATTTCAATTGTGCTTAAACATAGACCCGGATCAGGGATTCCCCTGGGTCAATTTTTTTTTTGCCACCTCTCTCGCCGAAACAATATATTTTTCGCCACTATTTATTTGTTTCGCTATAACTAACATAAACATATTTCTTGTTTAAAACTTTCCTTCTTTCTAACAAAAAGAAATCAGTTTGCTGCATTGTTGTCTTTTATAATTCTACATATCTATTTTTTTTCAACATTGTAATAAATAATCACTCAATAATAACAAACATTTACTTTTTAAAAGCTACTTTAAAATTGCAATATAAATAATGAAATCAACATTTTGTACTTCTGGGAACACGGGATTTATCTTCAATAAGTTTATCGGATACTTCCCGTCTATTTGAAGGATAAAGACTAAAGTCATAGAATTTTCTTTCCTTTGTATATATTTCTTCATAACAACCGTTTTTTTCGGAACCATCGTTAAAAGAAAAAGTCGAGACGTAAAACTATGATTCAAACATGTCGCTAAAACGATTGTAAAGTACCCACTTTAAAACAATTATGTCTTTCAAAGTTAAAGGATAAAGTATAAGGCAGAGAGTTTTCTTTCTTTTGAATATATTTCTTCATAACAACAGTGTTCCTTTCCGGACCATCGTTTAAAGAAAAAGTCGAGATGGAAAAATATGCTTCATACACGTGCGTCGCTAAAACGAGTGTGAAGTACCACAGGCACTTGTTTCTATCCATGGGAAGGTCGACTATCAATATATAACAGAAGAAGGTGGCTAAAGAATGTCACGACCGTCTCCGCTTCGGACGCTTTTTGTATCATTAACTTAATGAAAAAACTCCTACCTTATATGAATCGCTTCATTGAGTATTTTTCTTTAACACTAAACATATTTTATATCCCCCTCAGTGTTCCTCTTCATCGTAATCTTACTACCTTCTCACTATATTCAACTCGGTCGTGACATTAAAAAAATTTCGTTAGCCACCTTCTTCTATTATATATGGATAGTCGACCTTCCCATGGATAGAAGCAAGTGCCTGTGTGAAGTACCCATTTCAAAACAATTATTTCTATTAAAGTTGTAAATAAATCCTTCAGGTGACATGTGACGCCATTTACATGATTTAACCACACCTTTTTATTAAACAATACAATCAACACCTTTAGTAATTAGTCCGTTGTTGCCGATAGCTATAGAATGCAATCAGCTAATTATTGATTTTCAGAGTTCAAGGTGAATTCCCAGTATTTTCTGATCCAGGGAAAAGTCCGAGAAACCCGAAAAAAGTAAACAAATCGAAACGTTATATTTCATAATACATTTTAGGTCTTCAGTCTATGTCCTTTATTCATTAAATGCTCTAAAATGTTGTATGTATTATCAACAGTAGCTTATGAAGATTATTAAAAAACACTTGTAGATTGGCGTCATATTTTATATTGTAAGGTACATTTTTTTGTAATAAATTCCACACGATACTGATTTATGACATATAATTCAATTAGAATCACCTGTTAACAAAGTCAAAAGTCAGAAGTGACCTTAATATACACTAGTGAACCAAATATGAATTGAAACGGTCATTTTGATCTGACAAACTCTTAAAATACAGACTTTACAGTGGTGAATTTAGACATGTCAGAACTGTTCAGACAATTTGCTTGCAGTTAATTAGGAGCTGTCCAGTCTTTGTTCACAATGTTTGGTTGCTGTGAATTACCTGTACAGAACAGCAACATACTGAATTGTCTGAAATGGTGCTGATCAGTACTAATTTGACTGCAAGCAAAATGTCTGAACAGTACCGAATAAACAACCATATAAAATTTTGATATTAATTAAACTCGTAGCAAGACTTAACGTTTTTAGTTTTAGATTTGTCTGATGATCTTAACACCAAATAGACAGTTCAAGACTTAAATTTGTTTACTAGTGATAGCTCATATAAAAACCACTGTGTAATCAGAGTATAACGCAATAGTCGTGGAGAACGTTATAGTTCTTAGTTGTTACTCAAATCTCTTATCTTATTTCTTTATAAAATATACAAACCTGTGTTTTTCGTCCTTTAGTTTGGAATACTGTTTGTTCCATGCTAAAATTGAAATCTGAAATGAAAATTAAAACTAAGTTTTTCTACATCCATGCCTATATAGCTATTCCAGTATTGGCCATTTTTTTTTAGAATTTTTGCTTTTCAATGCATTTCAACTTTGTCATTGATTTAGCCTTCTAACCGTTTTGTTTCGAGTGTCAATGTTATGAGATGTATTGTTAAAACAAAATCCGCGTCGGTTTCTACATAGTTCCAGCCTAAGCATGAAAATTTTTTTCAACAATCAACAAAACTCAACACTACTTTTCGTCGTGATCAAATGCAATATCGACTACATCTTTTCTATAAAACGTTAACCGTAGATAAAAATTGCTTGCTTTATGGTTAGGAATTATCTACCTACGAGAAGACCAATAATGATACTAACATTAATAACATAGAAGCCTTTATTATAGAGATGTTGGACTTTTTCCTGGACAACAAAGAACGACATGGTATAATGTACACTTTGGGGACAAATTGGTCCAAAACTATCTGAAATTATGAGACCTTTGTAGAATTAAATGTTTAATCTTTGTTATTAAATAAAACTGTGTGGTTTTAGTTTTAATTATTTGCCAGTTATTGATATATGTAGTATAGCCAGGATAAAACAGAAAATTTAGTAATATGGCGAATTTGCAAATTATTGTGAACAATCGACTAAAAGATGCTATGAAATAATATAAAGCACAAGCATCACCAAACAAGTATTTACACAGAAACTGCATTTTACGAATCAACGACATTAATGACGCGAAAGCAAGATATATAGCTCCTTTATTCCGTTCTCGTCGGCGTCGTCTTCCGCGGCGTCACACAATCACATTACGTCTGTGGTAAAAGTGTTTTTAGAAATAGATTACTTTGTGAAAAATTATGAAGTTTTATGAAATTTTGACAAAAGCTTTTTTTTTTTTTTATTGTATTCAGATAAAAATTTTGAATTCGCTTTTTCGCATTTTACTGATAAATAGACTTACATGTTCCTATGATTAAAACGTTTAAAATCAAAGTTTTTCGGAATTGAAATTATTATATGTTGACGTATTTTGTGGGAACAACCTTACCTATGACAATCAAGTGGATTTAACCACTGAGTGCAAAAATTCGAAACACAATATATTTTAATAATTATTCCACTTTCTTTTCTTGAAGAGTTTACTAAGTTAAAGTGTATTTTTCTACAAGATAGGCTGAAAGACGGTTTAGCTGAGCACGCTGTATGCCATCGACGTAAAATCAATTTGACTTTTTTTATAATTAACTAAAAAACCCAAAAAAATCACACGTTTATAATTTCACATCTATTACTCGTACAGCAGAGTTAAGTATGCCTTTTAGATATCAGGTCGAAGACTTTCATCATATCTGTTTTTCTTATTTTTTTTTTATACAAATTTCTTGTATAGACAGATCACTGATTAAGATAATATTACTATCTTGTTTAAATCAATTGGCATAAACCAGACATAATTTGTTAATATTTCGTTAAAGTTGGTATATTGACAGATTGAAGTCTGCAGAACTGTATTTCAATGGCACTTACAAACAATCTGTTTTACACGATAGCTAAACTATTGTGACATCGGAGAAAACCACTGCTCAGTATGTTCAAAAATAGATTTTTCCAACAACACCTTGATTATACCATTATGCACTGTTTATAATTGGACCCTATTACCTGATTTTCTCAGTACTATGCGAAAAGACTTTTCATTGAAAGATGCCATGTAAGGTTTTAGTAGATGCAAACTTACGTTCAGATGCTGCATGAAAGATTTGATGTGCTAACTCTTTCTGGTCCATACTTGTTGCATCAATAAAATCTGGTAGATGACCAAATAATCGTGGGCTTTCTCCAGAAATAATCTTTAACGGATATAATTTAGCTATATTGTAATTGACAATATCGTTTACGTAATCTGCTATTGCCGGACATTTTTGCAGATTTATTGACTCAAGGACAAATACTGCGGGTTACTTTTGTAAATTTATTATCAATTTGTTTATTCCACTTAAAAATCCAGTTTGGATCTCCGAGTTTTGTCATCTGATTTAGTAAAAGCAGTAACCATGCCTCGTCGGCAAGTGATCCACAAAGTAATAGCTTCTTTTCACTTAATCCTTTCCTAAAATCAACCAAGTGATAGACCGGAATCGTGGCTGGAAAATAAATCATACATTTGGTATATTTTTCAAGAAATTTAAAATAAGCTTTTAGCTGAATCTGATTTGTCGTCTGATCTGTAATGTTACCGATTGTGACCTCTTCCCGATTGTGATAGTTTGAAGGAGTGTGAATTTGCATGGCGGGGGTAAATGCAAAGCAGAAGACGCTTACCTTGTCGATGCACCTAGTCTCGATTATTTTGGAGTTCAGATTCACTCATTTTTTGTTTATTACCTTGATTTGTCTCTTTCTCACATATTTGCAAGATATGAACATCGATAAACTACTGTCGCCTTAATTTATGGCGTATGATTAGAACACGGGTTTGTCGATGTTTTATCCTCTTTCCATTACAAATCTGTTGTTGTGTCAGCAGACAAAGCATGTAACAATATTAATTTTATATACAGAAATCATTAATCAAAATGGCTTACCAAAAACCTGAAATTAAAAGCAAAACTGGGAATACGGCATAAACATGATAAACCCCTACATCATTCCCGAAAGAGGAGATTTTATAAAATCACAAATCCACCGTTCTCTCCTTATGATTAACATCATAAACGACGATGAAAATCTCCCATCGTTATACAGAAAAACTTAGCGTGTACAAAAGTCCTTATTAAAAACGTCAAGATATTCTCATCACCAGCCTTTCTACAGTAAAATATTACCTTCAGAAATATTGTGATGAAGTATATATAAACAGCGGTGTCAATCACATGTGGATTCTTAAATATTCTAATGATCTGCTTCAAATCTTCAATCACAGTCTTCACTATTTTGCAGTAATATCATATATTTTCAATCTTGCGGTAAAATCAAATGTTTTGATTTTTCTACACTTCACATTACTATTCCATATTATGCTCTAATAAAAAATCGAATAATTGTTTAATTAAACTGAGCTTTTTCTTCAAAAATAGGAATTGTTTGATAGATTTACATCCATTGGCAAAAGTCTTATTTTGTCTTTCATTTAAAAGTTCAAATTTCCCTGTTACCTACCGCATCTCTTAAGAACAAAAAACAAATTAAAATTAATACAATTGGTAAGTCGACTATGATTGATTCATTGATACTTGCTAAACATCCAGTGGCAATAATTTATTGCATACGCATTATTCCGGACGAAGTACTATTTACACTTAAAACAAATGGTGGGTTCTGCAAAGTTGGACACCAAGGATGAAAGATGGAAAATATTTCGAATGACTGCCAAGGTGTGTTGGAAAGCGGTCGACATATTTTGCAATTCAACCGTCCACATACGAACACTACATCCATCTCCTCTTTCAAAATGTTTTTCAAAATAGAGGCCAAAGATACCTAAAGGACATTAAAACTCATCTGTCAAAGACACACTGACGACGCCTCAGCCAAAAAAAACAACAACAAATTACTAAAAGACAAACATTAGTCCAAATATAAACAACTTTGAAAACTAGAGATCAAGCAACAAAAAAACCGCGCCAAAAACAGGGGTGATCTTTGGGAAGATCCTGCACCACGAGGCATACGATTTTACGTCCACGTTTCGATCTGACGTGGCTGTGTATTTATACATCCCACACAAGCAAACGGAAACCTCACTGTAGCAAGGGTTTACTGTCAGACGGGAGAAGTCCAGGAATAACAAAATTTCTATAGCCTTGTCATCCCTTGCAAGGCGATGTGGCATATACTTTGGTGAGCCAGCAACCCTGTGACACATAAACTTTAAGATATCTAGAGTCAACATGCACTCTTATATATAATACAGGTTCCTTTAAAGAATATCAAGCTCTAAAAAAAGTAAGGAGTTAATTTAACATATATCAAAGCTGGTACAATGTTTGTTTTACATGTAACGCACTACTAAAAGACTATACTATCCTCCTCCCACCCCCCAACCCCGAAAAAAACACAAGTAAACAACAGTATGTAATCAATTTCAAAGAATTCTAGCAATTTGGAAGGCAAGTAGTTTTTAACGAATGATATCATTGAAAACAACATTTTTATTTCGATGACTGACTTCAGGGAAGATTTCAAAAATATTCTATGTAAACAGTTAAGGACGACAAGAGCTTGTGCTATGCCTAGAATCTATGCTACTAAAATAACGAGGCACAATTTGTTAGCCGGCTTGACGCAAAACGACGAATCAAAGAATTCAACTTTATATATAACTAAAATAGGACAATGGTGTTGATTAAAAAATAACACCATTCCAGGCCCCTTTGTTTTCCACATAATTAGCAAGTTGCAGGTCGAATCTGATACCGATACCAATAGTATATATCACATGTAGTTTCCGGTTGTATAGTAAGAAAACCAGGACGGGTTCAAACAGAAAGATTTTGAAAGCAGAGAAAACTCTGCACCTTATATTCATCATGACTTTATCAGATGACAATACGAATACTAAACATTCAGGCTAAAATAAGGCGTAGGTACTTTAATTCAGTCACGGATCCGCGATGTCGCGAGTGTGTTCCAGTATAATGTAATATTTCCATATACGAATTTTAAAATGAAAAAAATAAAAACATGAAAAACTTCAATTTTTTCTTTGCACAGCACTACGTAAAATTGAGAATGGAAATGGGGAATGTGTCAAAGAGACAACAACCCGACCAAAGAGCAGAAAACTGCCGAAGGCCACCAATGGGTCTTCAACACAGCGAGAAAATCCCGCACACGGAGGCAGGCTTCAGCTGGCCCCTCAACAAAAATGTGTACTAGTTCAATGAAAATGGACGTCACACTAAACTTCAAAACATATAAATGAAGTAAAATTAAAAAACATACAAGACTAACAAAGGCCAGAGGCTCCTGACTTGGGACAGGCGCAAAAATTTGGCGGGGTTGCCTGAACGCCACTATTTATTTTTTAGCTCTACTGGCGTTAAGGGTCAAGTGAGCTTTTCGTCGTCCGTAGTCGTCGTCCAATGAGGTATATAGTTAAAAAAATTACATGCTTTCCAACCAACCTGGCCTACAAGGCTTATTAAAAATAGATCATAGGGGTAAAATTTCAGTTTTGTGTATTATCCTCTGTAAACAGAAAAATCTGACAGGAGCAGAAATGTTCAAATGTTTACATCAAAACTGTCAGACGACTAATTCTTGGAGTTATTGCCCTTCCTTAAATGATATATTTTACCATGTTTTATTCATTTTTGCCTTTTAACTATAATAATAGATAGAAAAAAACTTATAATAGCAATAATTATCAACATGACAAGACTTACAAAAAAGTCAACATGTCCGAAAACGTCAAACGACACCTTATTGTAGTTATACACAGTTAAGAAAAAAACTTAAGATTGACACGCACCCTACTTCCATTGCTTTTTAACAATTCAGCTTACTGTTTGTGTCATGTATGCGCATATGCATCTTCCGAAGATTTGATTCCAATGGATAAAATGCTGAAATATGATCTCTTTTCTGTGAACCATGGCAACAATCTGCGTTTAATTGATACAAAATATTTCAAAAAGGGGGAGGGTGTGTCACAAATTCCCCCAAATTTGTTCCAAAGTAGAATTTCAATCCATTTGAGTGATACGTTTCCTGAAACCATTGACATTTATCTATCAAGAAATGAAATTAAAAGCGTATGCATTTCAAGTCTTCTAGTTTACTATTTTTCTTATGGTTTTATCTACTGTCTTATTTCGGTCTATAATATATGGTTCTGTCGTGCAATTATAGGAAAGGTAAGAGTTAGCATTGATATGCAGAGGTGTTTGCTTAGTTTTGATGTGTAAAGTGAATGACGGCTGACTAAAAAATGTATTTGTTTTCAATATAACGGAACTAGAAACAATGTGCATACAAGTGGGAGGTTTCGCTAGCTTTAAAACTTGTTTTTTCTCACCATTTTTTTCAGAAAATGCCTGACCCAGTCAGGAATAAAACATATTTTTTATTTGTTCCGTTGGTCGATATAGTCGGGCGTTTGATTTTGTTTTATGTACTTCTTCCTTTTTAAATTTAGCTCGGAGTTCGGTATTTTTTACATGTAATACATTGTAGTTGAATTTTAGAATGAGGATCAAGCTGGCCAAAATGTCTCTTCTATACACGTTTGAGCTAGCCACTCAAACCAATGTTAGTCCTGAAGATGTTACATTAAGGCTGTTTTAATACGATTTTTATTCATTGAAGTTTACAGGCATTGTTTTTGAATAAAAACATTGAAAAATAAACATATTTCAAAATCAACTGGTATGAACAGAGAACACTGTAATCTTTATGCATTTGAATATCACGTAGAATAGCAAAGTACATAATAAAAAGACATAAAGGAATATTTCCCAGTCTAAAAGAATTTAATGCATCAAGGTCAGTTGTATTAGAATTTGACTAACAATTTTTTGAAAAAAGTAATGGTTGAAAGAGATTTACTTATTGTTTTCTTGTCATGAAGAGTCAATTTCCTGGTTACTTATATGCATATATCAAAAAGTTCTTTCATAAGGGGTAAGCCAACTCATTTATAAAATAAAAAAGCATTATTTTGAAAAAGTTGAATACGATTTAATAGTAAAATTATGTTACTGCCATTTAATCTGTCCGTTTTAGATGCAGTTAGGTAAGTGCTATATATAGGAAATAATGCATGAAAGTCATATATTTGTTGGAAGTTTTCACATGGCCTGGGAAGTTATATTCAAATTTTATCGAGGCCATTCGGAAATGAAAACAAATGTATGGCTTGCATGAAATATTTTGATACTAATTCGGTAAAAAATTGAAGCGAAGGTTAGTGTGCCGTGTATGTCATGTGTGTTGCTCTTCTATTTTACGCCTGTACGATAAATCTTACAATGTCCAATAATTCTGTGGCTTGCATGAATTATTTCTCAAATAATCTCTAGAACAAATGTGCTTAATCCTTCTATTTCTCAACCCAAACATTCGTTTTCGTTTGCTATTGTTAAGACCCATTGGTGGCCTTGGGCTGTTTTCTGCTCTTTGGTCGGGTTGTTGTCTCTTTGATACATTCCCCGTTTCCCTTCTCAATTTTAAAAGATAAACGGTTCTTCCATGGAAATACAAAATACCCCACTTACAGCAAAAGTATCAATTGTTTTCTTATTATTGCTATTTACCTATAGAATCGCACCTTTCACACTCTACTTCCAGTTTACAATCAACGTTTCCAATCCTTTCTCTAATATGATCTATAATAAAAAAAGAAGTGAACTAAATATTGGAAGACACAAAGTGAATAATCAAACAACATATGAATAAGAGAAACAGAAACCATTATCGTTAAAATATGAGAGAAAAAGAATAGACAACAGGTAGATCAAGACTCCATAAGACCTCTACAAAGACATTCGTGTTAGAGGCTTGTGAACCGGATAAGGTTATGTTGCATTTCTAGTAATAGCCGTCTTTTTCAGATAATTTATTTGATTAAATGATAATCCGGATAAGGTTATTTCATCCATGTTTCAAAGAGGAAAAGATTATGGCGATGACAAATATTACAATTAGTTGTTTTCTGAGATATGAGGATTCTAAAGCGATGAAGGTGTTCGCAAAACTTTCAGAAAAATAACTTTAAAGTTATTACCAGTTGGTGCTATAGTGTTCTACAAAATGAACAGGCAAGCTCTTGAATACAGTAACAGGGTGATATATTTTGTTGTTATATAAAACATAAAGAACTATTAAGTCATTTTCAGTCTTTCAGTCAATTGTTAGACTTATCCACTGTGGTAAATTCAGTACTGTTCAGACAATTCACTTGCAGGTAATTTAGATCTGTTTGGTCTGTTCAAAATGTACAGTTGTTTTTATTTAACTGTACATATCAACAACATTCTGGATTGTATCTATTTCAAAATCAGACCAAAAAATTTAAACGAGTAAAAACAAAAGGAAACATGGTGGCAAATGACCAACGCCAGCCACTGAATGAAAGGCTCCTGATCTTGGACAGGCACATGAAGAGTGTGGAGGGATTTTACATGTGAGTAAGTGATTAAATCTCTCCTAACCTTGGACAGTTTTGTAGTAGACTAGTACACTCTAAAACCAAACTTTTAAAATCAGATCGGATATATGCTGGTATTTTTCAGGAACATCCTATTGTATTTATTGATAATTTGTTCTCGTCCTGAACATACATGAAATATTTGCCACACGACGTTAAGCAACCAACAATCAACAATTTATAAATCTTCAGTTAACGTTAAGCAACCAACAATCAACAATTGTATAAATCTTCAGTTAATCTATCACACCCCTTTAAAAAGTAGTAGACGTAAAAACATACACATATTTTGTTTGAATTTCAAAAATTATTTGTTGAAACCATTATGACTGAACAAAAAATGTTGAAGCAAACTGGCGTTATCAATTCTTTTTGTTGGTTATGCAAAAGATTTGTTAACTGAGAGTCGTCTTTCAGATCAGATCTTTTTCCGTATTAGTGTGGCATGATATGAAATAACATTTGATAAACAAAACAAAAAAAAAGTATGATTAACATATTACTTCACATTCGGCTAAATATGTGATGTCCTTTCCGAAACTAAACGTTTTTGATGATTAGATTTATTTTGGGGTTTAAGGGTCGATTATATTGTCTCATTTGACAGAGCTTTATGCGATAAAAATGAGAAAATTAAACATGTTAAATACAAATTTCTTGTTTTAGGTCATGAACAAGAGTGCACACGCTGAAATATCTCGCCTGTTTTACTTAGCATTGATTTTCTTAAAGATAAAAGTTTTACTAAAAGCATTACAGAAACTTAACATTTTTAAAATCTATGACAATGAGGTTAAGGTCAGATAAATCTCGTCAAACAGACATGTAGACCTTAAAATTTTTGTATACACCAAATATAGTTCACCTATTGTGTATGTTAATTGAAAAACAGACCAAAACACAAAAACTTAACATTGACCAATAAACCATAAATACGAGGTCAAGGTCAGATGATACCTGCCACATAGACATGTGCACCTTACAATTATTCCATACACCAAATATAGTTTACCTAACGCTATTGGTATTTGAAAAACAGACCAAAACACAAAAACTTAACATTGACCATTGAACCATAAAAATAAGGTCAAAGTCAGATGATACCTTTCAGACAGACACGACCTTACAATCATTCCATACACCCAATATAGTTGATCTATTGCTTATAGATATGAAAAATAGACAAAAACACAAAAATTAACATTGACCAATGAACCGTGATAATGCGGTCAAGGTCATATGATACCTGCCAGACAGACATGTACACCTTACAATCTTTCTGTACACCAAAAATAGTTGACCTATTGCTTATAGTACTTGAAAAACAGACAAAAACACAAAAACTTAACATTCACCAATGAACCATGAAAATGAGGTCAAGGTTGGATAAAACCTGCCAGACTGACATTTACCCATTACAATCATTCCATACACTAAATACAGTTGACCTACTGCTTATAGTATTTGAGAAATGGACTTAATCACGTAACTTTCACCTTGATCGCTGATCCATTAAAAGAGGTCGAGGTCAAGGAAACTCTGTCTGACGGAGTGAAGACGTTGCAAGGAACCCATATACCAAATATAGTTACCCTATTACTCATAATAAGTGAGAAATTCACATGACAAAAAAACTCTTCTTTTTTTTCAAGCAGTCGCTGAACCACGAAAATGAGGTCAAGGACAATGGACATATGATTGACGGAACCTTAGTAACATAAGGTATCTGCATACAAGGTATGAAGCATCCAGGTCTTCTTCCTTCCGAAATATAAAGTTTTATACAAATAGTATAAGCCGCCGGAAAGTATTACCTATGTCTTGCATACTGCGACTTTCGTCGCATGCGAGACAAAAACTAACTTTGTGAGGAGCCACACTGATTCACACAACAAATACACCAAAGATAATATCATCAAAAGGTTGTGAACGTATTTGTTGAATTTGGTGGACTTTTTTTTTAGCAGACAGTCAGTATTTCAATGGAAACGTATTGTGCAACAATACTGGCCGACTTGTTTATTTACTCATATGAAGGACAATTTTATATATGTTATGTCACTCAATAACCCAAATCGTAATTGGTGCTTACATCTCATACATCCCAGTGAACTAAATATTAAGAATACTACTTAAAGATGAAGGTTTACTTCATATATTGATATTTTCCCCGATATTGACACAAATGACTTCAAACTAAAATGTATAACAAACATGATGATGTCAATCTCCAATTGTCGACTTCCCATACCATCTGCTCCATCGTATGACGTAAGCATGTATCAGTAATACTTAACACTCTTGCATGTTCAAACTATACGAACTTCATTAACAGGGTTGTTTTTCTTACACAAAACCTGCTCCAACAGAGTTATGAGGAAGAACGAGTACCGAAATAGACACTACAGTCTCCATCACAAATTGATTGACCGATACGTTGCGTCGATATATCACCTTACTAGCGGCATGTTTTCGCGGGCTAAGATAGTAAGATACCAGTATAGTCGTCTGATCTGATATTTAACCGATTGTGTCGTCTACCAAACTTTGAGTGAATTCGAATGGCGGGTGATGCATGCATAGCAGGCGACGCTGGCCCTGTCTTGTGTTTTTTTTTAAGAGTTCATGCAATTCCCACAGTTTTTCTTTGTGACTTTGTTTGACTTTTAATCGATTTACGAGATTTGAACATCGCTAAACAACTGTCGCCTTAATAAGAATCAAAATATAAGAATCTGCTGAGAACCTTGTTTTATGATAAAAAGAGATGATTCAAAGTTTCCCTGCAGTGCGCATGTAGTAATGGGCTAGCCGCTTACGCATATGAATATAAAAAAAACAGAAATCACGGATATACGGGAATAATAAAAGCAATCACTACGATAAACGCTCATGTTTGTGAAACAGCTGTTCTGAATAACCAACAAACTGTTAAACACACGATGTTAATCTGGTAAACGATATGTTGGTGATCAAAACAGTTATAACACAAACGTATGAACGGCCATCGTAGTGACTATAAAGATATCTCCTGACCGCACTAAGAAAGATTTCAATTGGCTAACTAGAATCATCATAAAGCACAACACTGCTTGCTCTGGGCAGAAGAGACAGAGTTTGGATAAGAATATTAAGAACATCGTCACTTAATGCACGTCTATTGTAAATGCTATAGTTGCGTGCCCTTTAAGACTTTTGAATTTTACAAGTGTCAGACAAAACAAGAATCAGCCTTCCTGACCTCTAAAGCTTCTTGCAAGATATCCTTATGTTAGAAAGACGACAAGAGTCCTGGCACCGCTATTTTCTCGATATGTTTATAGGACTTTAATTGGTAGCTTCAGGTTCAAAATATATTTCTAAATATTAACGGAGTTCACTGAAATTGAAAATGAGACCTTCCTTTTATTTCAAAGTTATGAAAACCCTGGCTAGGGTTAGGCATGACAAAAATACAAATGTTTTCAAATATATTCTGTGTTTTCTAATTCAACAGAGGACAGTAAGTGCGAGACTCAGTATGATATTCAACAATTAAGAAAAAAGTATAATAACAAAAATACCGAACTCCAAGGAAAATTCAACTCGGAAAGTCCCTTATCAAATGGTAAAATCAAAAGCTCAAACACATCAAAAGAATGGACACTGTCATATTTATTATATGGCACAGGCATTTTCCTATGTAGAAAATGGTGGATCAAACCTGGTTTTATAGCCAGTCAAACCTCTCACCTGTATGACAGTTGCATAAAATTCTATTATATTGACAACAATGTGTGAAAAAAACAAGCAGACATCTATACTAATAAAGGAAGAGACCGATTTCATTGAGCCGCAACTCCTCTGAAACCACACAAATTCGGAAATATTTGTGATATGACGTATAAATGTAGTGTTTTGTACGTCCTAAATTTGTCTTTTAAACAATCTTTTTTCCACAGAAAACACCAATTTTTGAGAAAATATCCAAATTCGGAGACCGTTATCGATCCTTGTCTTATACGCTTTCGCGCATGCTCAGTCGACGTACTGCCAACGAAATCTATATTACCTCATCTATACGCGGTTCACCACCAAACGGTGTATTTGGGATTTGCTATATACACGGGTCATTATACAGGGTTGACTCTTCTAAATTCAATCACTGTCACATTGTTTCCTATGGTATTATTTTATTCAGCAAAACTTTATAAGATGACAATACGAATACTAAAAATCCAGACTTAAAATAAGGTGCAGGTACAGTTTCCAATTTGTTAGCCGGCAAAACGTAAAAACGGCGAATCCAAGAATTCAACTTTATATATAACTTATATAGGACAATGGTGTTGATTGAAAATTACACAATTCCAGGCCCTTTTGTTTTCGAAATAATTAATATTATCAATAATTAATAAGTTCCAGGTCAACGGGTTCAAGCAGAAAGATTTTGAAAGCAAAAAAAAAACAACTGTGCACCTTATAATCAGCATGACTTTATCAGATGACAATAGCAATACTTATAATCCAGGCTAAAAATAAGTCTTATACATGATTAAATACTTTACTTTAGTCACGGACCCGCGATGTCGTGGGTGTGTTCTAGTAATAGTCAAAAATAGGGGTACAGCAGTCAACACTGTGTTATAATCTTAATCACTATAAAAACAAACATATATGTCAACAAAGAAAAACAAAATGGCATATAGACAAAGCAGATAATCAAAAATGAAAGACAAGTATACAAAAAATGACCACAGCACAACAACACATTGGCGGAATGCATAAGTACCGAGCGACGCCAGAAAGATATTACCAAAAATGGACTATACAGTAAAGGTTAATAATTTACAAAGGCAAATAAAAGAACACTATAACACGTTATTAAGATGATAAACAATATCTGAATGTGAAATTAAATGATCTGGTTTCTTTGATCTTCTTGTTTTGACAAATGTCTGAAGGAACTCCGACTCATAAGAAATAAGAAGAGGTCGGCAAGGAGAGGCGCACAGTTCGTTCCCATAGGAATGCCGACAATTTGTTGAAAAAGTCTACCTCCATATTCAACAAATATGTTGTTAATAAGAAACTTCAGCATACTGATCACGTGTTCCTCTGTGTAGCATGATTCACCTTTAAGTTCACTATTAACAAAATATGCCGTATGGTATCCCAAAGTAATAAATTTATAGCATATGCTACCATTTTTGTCGAGCTTGCGAAATTTATTTCACGAAAGCGAGACTTACTGATCTGAGATTCCGTCGTCGTCGGCAGCGGCGGTGGCGATGGCGTCGGCGGCGGCGGCAACATTTAGGTTCAGTCAGTGGTTAAAGTTTTTTTGGACATTAATAACTTTGTCAAACATACATGGAATTTTTTATGAAATTGGGACAGAAGCTTGTTTATGACCAAAATACAGTATCCAGAGCAAAATTTTGAAAATATTTATTTTCATTTTTCCGTATTTTACTAATAAATGGACTTAGTCTGTTTTACATTTAACTTCAGATTTTGTCTGAGGTTAAAGTTTTCAGTCATTACCTTCATGGAATTTTATAAAATTGGGCCAGAAACTTGTTTATGACCAAAAGACAGTATCCAGAGCAAAATTTAGCAAATATTTATCTTCATTTTGTCGTATTTTACTGATAAATTGACTTAGTTTTTTTAAAGTTAACACTCAGGCTCAGTCTGAAGTTAAAATTTTTTCAGTAATCAATAACTTTGTCAAAGCTTTATGGAAATTTACGAAATTTGGACAGAAGCTTGTTTATGACCAAAATATAGTATCCAGAGCAAAATTTGGGAAATACTTATTTCAATGTTTCCATATTTTACTGATAAATGGACTTAGTTCTTTTACAGTTAACAATTAGATACAGTCTGGGGTTAAAGTTTGTTACACTTCAATGACTTTCTCAAACCTTCAAAGAGTTTTATGAAACTTTGGCAGTAGCTTTTAAATGATCAAGAGATTATGTCTGAAGCATACCTTTGAAAATAAATCTTTTTTCATTTTTAGTATTTTTCTGATAGATGGACTTCATTTTTTACAGTTAACATTTAAAGACAGTCTGGGATAAAACAAAATATATATGATAAATTTGTAAACCTTCATGGATTGTTATGAAACTTGTACAGAAGCTCATCTTCAAGACCAAAAAATAGCATCTAAAGAAAAGGTTTTAATTTTTTTTTTAAATTTTGTATTTTACTGATAAATGGACTCACTTTTTAAGTCAACATGACACTTTTTCACTGACAGCAGCAATCGCAGGCGAGACACAGGGTTCCGCGGAACCCCTTATGAATTTTATTATATTGAAAAACATTGTGGATTATTTCTTTCAGACGATTTTTCAATTTAACATGGGGAATGGGGGTATACAGGGTTGAAAAATCAAAACTGTTGATAGAATTAATTTCAGAGAAAAATCGAGATTTATGATTATCCAGAAGTTCGTTAGAGTTTTTTAGAATCCACACACTACGCGAGTAAACAGTTTCACAGTATTTCTGAAGACCCTCTTTCACTGCGGACAGAATTTTTGTCAATCTAATAGACAATTCCTTTGTAGAACATGCAGAAGAGCCGGCAATGTACCGTTGTTTGTACGGAATTTCGTGAAGCTTAGGTATCCAATACAAACAATGTAAGTCCTCAGATTTGCTGTTAAATGTAATGTTCATTGAAGCAGTGAAGGACTAAGGATTCGCCAAAATCTCATCCTTGTCAAATGATATGTTTTTGTAGGTGGGATTACATGAGTGCTCATTTATTCCTATTTTTTTCGCAAGACACTCGTAGTAGTACGATTTACATACAAAGACAATATTAATTGAAGCTTTGTCCGCAGGAGAAACAACATATTTATCGTGAATAGTTGATAGACATTTCACAGCTTCTTTGTCTCTGAAAACAGACTTTAATGGATCTTCACACAGTTTTTCAACTTATACATTCGACGTTTTATCAGAGACCTAATTATTTGACCCATTCTGACAAAGTGTCCAGTTCAACTTCTTCTCGTTTAGCCCATACTCTGGCATAGTCCTCAATGGAATCCATCATTATTTTGAAGTTATGGTTCCAATGTAGAAACGATTGTTAAGGAAATGGAGGTGGATTAATTTGCAGTCTCTAAGAAAAAGAGCTAGCACAATCATAAATAAAGATACCATCAACAAATTTTTTTTCTTAACATTTTTTCTTACATGTGTTCAGAGTTCTCGTAAACCCAGCATGGTATTGAAAGTAAATCGCACAAAGTTTCGGAGACCAAGATTTCTAATTCGATATTCAAAATCAACCTGACGAAAGAAAGCTGTGTAAAGGCATTCAATATTATGTATTTGACCTGACATTTTACTCATCAGCGGCGTTCGAAAATGTGTATTTGATCCTGATCGAATACACTTTTTTATTCCTCGGATGTAAGATGTGTAAGAAGGGAAATAAAAAGTAATAACACATGTGGTAGGTAGTTAACATATCCCTACCCAATATTTCAATCTTCATTCAGAACTCGTTTGCCTATTCGTTTAATATGTTTTCTTAAACATCACACACACTAAGGTTTTGAGTTGAACCCCGCTTCGGCAGATTGCGTCCGACTTTGATTTTTTAAATTGACTGGGACAGCCGTTTATTCTGCCGAATATCGTTGGATCTCATGTGTGTACTACGGCTTCAACTATCGAATAAAACTGACCAAAAAGTTATGATTTTTAATTGCAAATCACCCACAGGGACAATATTTTCAATTCATTGTTCAAAATTTAAAGTCTTATTTTTTTCTTTTACATTCAAAAGGTGTAATATAAGCTTTTTTACTTTAATAGAAGAGTCGCAATATTTTGATAATTTCCGATTTTTGCCAATATATAGTTTTCAAATATTTGAGATGAATTTCACGTGTGTCACTTCTTAGGTTTCTAAAATTGAACATTTTTGGTATGTTTAACATGCATAAATTGTGTTTAGCTGCATTTTTCAATTATATATGCACTAACTTACCGGGTAGCTTTGACTTCAGTGTATCCATAAGTCTCGGGAACCATAAATGCGCACATGTTGTACAGTTGATATATGGGTAGTCCCATAACGTCCAACGAATATGACTAATATAATCTAGTTCGACAACTATAATTGGCATTTCACTTTCTATGTAATCGTAATACTCTGTATAATTTTTCTGTGTGACGGTTAATATAACTACTTTGAAATTCTTAAGATACCGATTCAGTCTCCTTTTTAATGGAAAACCATGCAGATAATCTACAGCTGGAATAGCACATGTGATACCATATTGTTCTTTTAACAATGTTGACATGGTGTGTACCCATCTGATTTCTTTTTCGTGGTCACCATTTAAGAAAGCTACATCAAATTTCTCAGATTCGTTCCTGTGCTTTGTTATACCTGGAAATAATGATTTAAATAACATTAACGCTACCAATTATAAATGTGCCTTTAGTGCTGCTCGAGGCCTTAATATTAGAATAGATAAACATTTCTCGAACGTTGAAGAGCTGATTTAACCAAACAGTATAGTCAAATTTGGACAAGGAATCAGAGCTTTGCATGAGGAAGTACGAGTACTTTATATTCCTGAATTTAAATGATTTCCAAAATTTTTAGCAGTAAATTTCAATCAGACAATTTCAGTATTTTCATCCCAGTATCGAAGTACTTGCTACTGGGCTGGTGATACCCTCGGAGACTAACAGTTTATCAAGCAGAGGTATCGATCCAGTGGTAGTTATAACATTCAAGATGATATCATTTAAAACTAACAAATAGTAGGCAACTGTTGTATTATTGCACAATTTAACTTTGTAGTCATTAAGGAGTTACATAAAAGTATTCTCTTCACATCATGTAAATCACTTGTATGAAATGGGTTCCAAAAATATGTGATAAACACATTTGGACTGTTTGGCATGATTTCTAAGTTGGAGTTCTCTTTAGCTAGCAAACAGGGATTAGTTGCCTTATAAACGTCCTGTATGTTTCTTACAAGCAGCAGCAATCATCTTTTTTCCAGACTTATCTTTATCTAAAGCTGTGACGAAAAGATGTAAATAGGAAGTGCAAGTTCTAAATAATGAAAAATTATTTTTATATTTAAATTTCATAACAAAAATCATCATCTTTAATTTTATTTGTGCGTTTCTTATGGAGGTAGACGGAGAAAAGGACTTCGGACGTTCATAACGTGTTATGTGTATTCTAATTGAAATGTTGAATTGTGAGAAGGCCAACAATTCATCAGATCGAAATATTTCAGATTGGATTTTAAGGATGTTCGCTCCTCTGTTTTAAAATAACAAGCTTTGTAAACGACTGTTATAAATTAATAGTATATAAATAACGGTTCTTAAAAGCAGAAAAAAATTTTGGTCCGTGTCCTTGTTTTTGAGATATAATCAATTGAAAATTCGGCGGATATGATTCTCATTAGTTTTTCATATTTTTAACTTTGACACCAATTTTATTTCAACAACCATAAAAAAAATAACAAAGATGAAATAAGATTTTAAAAAATGGGTTCTAAACTATATGTTATAAAATTATGAAAAGAAAAGTAGGGGTAAGCAGTCAATTTTTTTTTATTGGCACTTCATGGATTAAACTAGAGGATTCCGAATATCTAACAAAAAATCAAAAACAATGGATCCAAAATCCTGAAGTAGACATTTCGCAAACTTTTCGATGCTAACACTTACACTTATGCCTAGGATGACAGATCATTTTTTAATTTGGGGTTGTATCAAGGTTTATTAAGATTACATGTCGTTACATTAACCTTATCTAATGATGGTTTATTAGGGCTTTCCACTTTTCTGTGGAAAGACTTATTGTATTTTTTCTGATTATTATTAGGTCTTTCCACTTTTCCGTGGAAAACTTTGCTTTTGTTCTGATTATTTTTTTTTATTTTTTTTGCCGCCTAATTTTTTTCTTTCGCTGTTTGGTTGTTTCGAAAGATGTCGCGTAGATATTTGGTATATGATATCGAACAGTTTATACGCTTTTGAAACTGACTATGTTTAACCGAATACTTTTCTTTGTAAGAGTTATCTCCCCGAACACTGTTTTTCTTGTCATTTCTAATACTTTGCAACCGTAAAAGAAACCGACAAATTTATGTTTCCAAATTGCTCGTTATATCCTTAGGATGTTCTGTTTAATTTTGACCGAAGCGGTATAGAGATTCCATATGAATAATTATTTCCCCTTCTGTATTTGATATAAGTGAAAAGTATTTGTAACTGGCAAACCATAGGTGATAGAGACAGGTTCTTTTGATTTGAGGTCCTTGGTCCATTAAAAAGAAAATGAGGTCAAGGTCAAAGGTCAAATTCATGTTCTAAATTTTGATGGTGGCTTGTTATCACTTACTTTCAAAAATTGTATAAGATATCAACAAAATGCTTTTACAGAATTGTTAGTTGCGACATGTCATAACACGTACATTTTAGTTGAAAGGGTACGTAGACATTTAATGGGAGTTTTCTCCCCTCTTATATCTAAAATTAGCTGTATTGTAATATAAATCATTAATGATATACAGTAGAGACCTAGAGTCTTTTGATTTTAGGCCCTTGTTTAAAGACCTTGAAGTTAGGGTCAAAGTCAAAATTTGATTTGACGTTCTAGATTTTGACTTTTGCTCTAACTTCTTATTGGTTCAAAATAAAGTCAAAGGGTCTTTTACATTGAGTTACATATATATGACCATGATAAAGGTAAACCGGAAGTGACCTTTTGTGTACCGGAAGTAGCCATGTTTGCCTTACTTCATGTACAATTTACTAGTACTTTATATTTGTGGAATAAGTGTGAAGTAAGGTTCAAATTGAACCGTAAGTAGCATTTTGTAAACCGGAAGTACCTTCTTATCTCCCTTATTTTTCTCAAAGCTATAATAAAACCATATATGTTTGGAATCAGCATAAATTAAGCTATTATCTTACACCAGAATTGACATTTTCAACCAAATTTTAATATTTTCCTGTGAAGATATGTCTATTTAGGGTGGAAAGAACTTTAATAGTTCCCTGAACAATTGTTTTTTAATAATTATTATTATTTTTTTTTCTTCTTCTTCCGCCAAACCGTTGTTTGTGGTATAAAGTTGTATCGCAGGATGTCACTTAGATATTTTGGATATTATATCGAACACTTATTGCGCTTCTCAAACTCATCTTGTTAAGCCGAAGACTTTTTTTATTGTAAAAGTTATCTCCCCAAACACTGTTTTCCTTGTTAGTGTATCTCCTCTGTAACCAAAAAAGATAACGACAAAATTCTTTTTCATATTTGTTCGTTTCATCCTCGGAAATTTTTAACTGATTGGATCGAAGCAATCTGGTGAAATCTTATAGGAGTTATCTAACTTTACCAAATAAATTTTTCGTTATGTTTTTGTAACTCATAAATCATAAGCCGTATAAACCTAGAGTCTTTTTATTTGAGGTTCTTGGGTCATAACTTAGAAATAAGGTCAAGGTCAAGGGTCAATGTCATGTTCTGAATTTTGTCTTTTGCTTGTTTTTGCATTTTGTCTGATACTTTTACAGTTATATGTAAAAGAACTAGTGCAAAATGTGCTTTATAGTGATGAAGATATGATACATTTGGTCTGAAACAATCCAATGACATCTTATAGGAGTTACTGCTCCTGAAATGTTTTATTTTAAGTTACTTTGATTATTACTTCAGATTGGTACATGATAAAGCCATAAGGTCTTTTGTAAAATGTTAGGTGACATATGACCTTGAAAAAAATCAACCGGAAACGACCTGGAATTAACAAGAAGTAGTATTTTTGAACTTATTTTAAGGGAAAGTACCTAGAAACCAACACTTTTAAATTGGCATGCATAAACCTATCATCTGAGACCGGAAATGACATTATATAACCGGAAGTAGCAAAATAATTCCTTATTACAAGCATAAGTATAAACAAACAATATATTTTTGGAATTAGTGTGAATAAAGCTATCATTTGAGACCGGAAGTGACATTTTCTAAACCGGAAGTAGCCAATAATCTCCCTTTTTACAGGCACAAGTATATAAAAACCATATATTTTTGGAATCAGTGTAAAAACAGCTATCATTAGAAACCGGAACTGACATTTTCTTAACCGGAAGTTGTCAATTGTCTCCCTTATTTCAGGCAAAAGCATATAGAAACCATAGATATATTTTATCATTAGGAAGAAACCTATGATTGGACGCCAAACGTAACTATGAGTTAACCGGAAGTAGTTTATTATCAATTACTTACAAAATTGATGTGGAAAGACCTTCAATTGTTCTCTGAACAATTGGTTTTTAATTATATACATTTTATAAACTATGATGATCAAAATGTTCTTTGTTAAAACATTAAAGAAAAGTGAAATTTTGAGAGTTGAAAACTAAAAGGAAATAATTGTAAATCCTTTTATGATGTTAAACATATATATAAAACTGTCTTAAACAAAACAGCTGCCGTGGACGATTTCTTTTTAATGAAATCCCCAAAGCAGAATTAAAAACGGTATCTAAATAATAATAACCCTGTCGTAAAATGTTGGGTTTTTTTAATAAAAAAAAAACATGTTCATATGGCCCTGTAAAAGAAAGTTTATTCCGGCAATTTAATAGTTTTCTCTAACACATTGTGCACAAAAAAAAAAACTCTCAAAAGCAACTTATATCTGACGAAAGAATTTATATCTAAATACTAATAATGAAATATTCAAAGGTTGGAATAACTTTTTCAATTTACAGATTTTATCTGAGTTTAATATGGGAACCAGAATTATAACTAAAAATAATACATTAAAATTGGGAAAACTAAGCATGTATCCTAAGATTCATATCCCTGCTTATCATGGTAGTTTAACGGAAACATTCTATTGGTTTTCACACTTACATTAAGATAGCTATTCTCTGTCAATTTTTGCTGTATATTTAAAAGTTTTAATGGAACGACCATTAAACTCGGGAGAGAGTAGGGAGGAGGTAATGTGGGGTTTTTTTTTTGAACAAAATATTCTGATTCCCAACTTTTACGAACAAAATATCTTGATCAGGGAAACAAGTTCGGAACAAGATCAGCCAACATCCTTAAACCCCTGAAGGCGCCAGTCAACGGAAGAGGAGGAATTTCTTGAGTTTCCAGATATACCAAAGTCAAGCCTTTTGATACACCAACAAAGTTTGAGAATCGATCGGGTGGAGATTTCTACTTTTAGTTTAAACTCGATCTGTGGAAATGCATTAGGAACATATCTTATAGCTTGTAATGTATATTGATATTTATTGGGTTTTTCTTTCTTTTGATAATCAGTTCTGATGATATGTATAGAAAATGTCATAATTACTGTTTAATTTATTAACAAATAATCTAATTTTGGATGTAACCCGTCTTCTGCTTGGCTGAATTTTTTTTTATCTGCTCAAAGACATAATTTTGTCATGTGATCGTGACGTCATAAACGTTTTTTCTTTATTTACTCCTTAAAATGTAACTTTGAATTAAGAAGCGGGTTATTTAAAAGTGTGCACCACATTTGTGATGTTATTTCTTCATAGACAGAAAAAATATTACAGTCATTCCTTAACTATTTTAGATCATAAAAGATTAGTAGTGCAGTGAAAAATCAATAAAAAAGGGCCCTTATGTTGATAGTTAAATGGGCCGACTAAACTCACGATTTAACTGAGGATATCCACATACGGATAAAGAAATCTGTACACTATCATTTAAGCCCAGTCGTAGAATATTCCCACGTAAGGGATTGTATAAGATCGCGATAACTTGTGACTTTTGGATCTTACACAGAAATGGTTTTTCTTAATTTCCGAATGATAATTCAGCAATATTTTGATATAAAATGAAATTACAATTTTTCGTTTGTATTCAATACAGACCTTAAAGTCAAACGAAAGTATGTATTGAATCAATAGAATGTGGCATTTGTTTGCAATTTTACCGTCTGTCAAAGTATTTTGAATATCTTTCATAATGCATCCATAGTTAATTTTGACAGAGAAATAATAGAAAAACAAATGTTAAAAGTTTGACTGATCATACAAATCAAACATTTATGAGCTTATTCAAAATACTCTTCATATCTCAATTTATGTGTGACTGTTTTACAAGTTTTTAATATGCAATTAACCTTGTACTTCTTGACTTGTTTTAATACAATCTTCGTATATGATCTTGTACATGCTATTGACTTTTACGCATCAAGACAATTATTATGCTTTATATTGTCTTTTAGGTTTAAAAAACCAATAATGATCTTCATTTTTTTTTTCATTGAAATTTGAATCTGGTATAAATCTGATTCCTTTCCTCTTTTTATTCATTATAAATTGAATGTCTACCAAACTTTTCTAAAATGTCTATATGAGAGAGGCAAAAGATACCAAAGGGACATTAAACTCAAATTTGGTAGGTCACATTCGGGAAAAAGGGAGCGGTGTTGTATTTGCAACAATTGGAGCATATCCGTTGTCATCTCGTGATGGCGTCCGTAAAATTTACGAAGAGATGATTTCAACTTCACCACTTGGAACTCTTGGTTTAATAGCTTTCTTGTGAGCACCAACCCTCATCAAAGAAATAATAATGGGAAATACAAGCCCTAGAATATCGTATCAACTGGGAGATATATACTCCGTATGCAGGCACTGCTGAAATGTTGCTAAATAGAATGGAAAGTTCACAGTTGGGAATCTGTATCATCTCTTTTGTCGTAAAGTTTTTTTTCAACCGACCCTCATCGTCAATTTCTAGATATTAGTCAAGATATGAGGCGGACTTAACTGTATCTGTTGCATCCATTATTTCAATTTCAATGGGATAGATGCGTTCAACATAGTCACCAAATTTTAGAATTATTTAGTGACAGAATATCATCTTTATAGCAGAATGTGAAGTTAAAGAATACTGCTAACTTTTTTTCTTTCTTCCTAAGAAGTTCCTGTATGAAGTCAGTCGCGTTTGAATAAAGGAACAGGTCGGCAAGAAGACGAGCACAGTTGGTTCCCAGGGAAATGCCGATTGTTTGTTGAAAAACACGTCTTCCAAACGTTACAAATATGTTGTCAATCAGGAAATCAAGCATATTAATAATGTCAGTTTCAGAGAATTTTTTTGTTTGAATCAGAGTAATTTTTTATAAGGTACGATTTATCCCTCCCTAAGACAAGATACTTGTATCTATATATGTTGTAAAAAAAATACTGTATATCTCAATCTACGATTGGAATATTTTGGTTGACAATTTTCGTTGATAAAAATAAATTTGTCATTTTCTCTTTGAATCGGGATATTATAAGTCACCGATCTCTGACAATCAGATGTAAATAGAACAAGCAAAATATAGAACATGTCCAGAGCATTATTCCATTATTTTTTTTTATTAATATTCATGCTGGATGACCAAAAAATTGTAAAAAAAAATAGTGAAACAAAAGAACAAGTCCCCCTACTGACCGACAACAACAATTTTCAAAGATGTGCATCACTATTCACTATAGCACTTAACGACAGGCTTAAATCAAATGACAGTATAATTATCTTCAACATAAGACAAAAATAACCGTGAGGTTATTTGGTCTGTCAAGGTTTTTAATTAACCTTTCTTGTCACTGTACTATATGATCTTGACATATTGTATAGGCACATGTCTATTGTTCAGGACAGTGATTTACCATGTATATGACTTTTCATAATTTGTTTTGTTGGATTACTTTCATATTCATATATACACCACTTATACTTTATGCATCTCCAAGATACTAACTCACTGAAAGCAAAGTGAAAATCCTGTTTTTAGAAACAATATTTCTATGCCAAGTATATAACCAAAGAAACATCAAGGTCAAGAATCTAAAAAGCGCAGAAATTATTCATAAGGTCGACGCAAAATGTGTATTTAACCCAATGACATGTATAAAGTACAGTAATTTTCAGAACATTTCTATGCATTTTTTATCATGTTTAATTATCTTAAGATTTCCCTAAACACCGAGGAGAAAAGATGAATTTCATTACTAGCTTGTACGTTTGATGATGTAAATATTTTGTATGATTTTGTAGTTATCAATTTTAATCTGACATTAATGATCCCAAAGATAACTTGTATTCACTGTCAGTCAGAATATAGAAAAAAGAAATATCGATTAGAGCATGCTTCAGAAACTCATTTAAATGGTTTGTGGAACATACTATCTCAATTTTTGATAATGTTTACCTTCAGTTTGAACAGCTTTTTCGTCTGAAGATGGGCTTGGTGATATGCATGTGACGTTTACTGAAACAAAAAGGAAATAACAGTATAGAAGTCTATACAATACTCTATGTGATAAAATATATTCAAGGTTTAGTTGTTGGCCCCTTACATTCGAAGTTGAAACAAAGCAGTAATATATATCTACTTAATAACATTATTCAGATCATGCAGATGTTAATGTTATATAAGTTTGTCAGTTCAGAGTTTGAATTTAATCTGAATATTTTTATTAGGGCTTAACATGCCTTGCGTTTAGGGCAAAACAGCCAAAACAGCCAAAATAGCCTAATATTTAGCTCAATTGGCCTAAAGGGTCAAGAGAGCTTTTCTCATCACTTGGCGTCCGTCTTCGTCGTCGGTTCACTTTTACAAAAATCTTCTCCTCTGAAACTATTTGGCAAAATACAACACAATCACCATTAGTGTATCATGTTATAATCAACATGGCCGACATGGCTAATAATAGAACATATGGGTAATATGCAAGTTTCATCTGAGCTGCGTCGGATAGAACTCGACCTTATGTAACTGCACATACACATGTACATGTATAAGACTTAGATTGATCTTGGAACATTCAAATACGAAATAAAAGATGAATTTTGGTCAGTCATGTAGGGTTCATATATCACCTCAATTTTCAAACAGTTACAGACTTTGCATAAATATTTTTTCAACTTGAAACAAGTTGACAGATTTATTGATATTCATTTGCATAAGGTCGATTTCTATCCGACACAGCTCATTTCTATTGTCGTTCAGTTTTAAATCATATATCAATTTTTGAAAAAAATCTGTGGACTAATGAAATAGAATATCTTCCTCATGTAAAAATTCGTGCCAAATTTCATGATTTTCCTTATATAGTCTATGTATTGTTGGCACACCATGTTGTTAATTTCAACAGCTCGTATCTCAAAAACGTAAACGGCTTTTTTATTGTATTTTCTTGTGTATTTATACAAGCAGAATTCATATGTGAAATTTAAATTCTGTGGAGTAGTTAATTACGTACACTTCGCCTTAAGTAAAAATGTTCCTTCCGATGTTGGTCATATAATACTGCAAAATTGACCAAATGTGTCAGAGTTGTTTTGATCTCTTTGATAAATGCGATAGTTTGCTTAGACTGAGAAAGATAAATGTAACTATTTTCGTACTTGATAAGTAGATACCCTTTCCATTTAATGCAAGTTTTATGCGCACTTTTTTATTTGATATACAGCTTATTTGCTTTTAGAGTAGATTGCTATTTACAGGAAGAACTTTCTAAAATTGGGATGAATGAACATATTCTAAAGAGTACAAGAGCCGGTATGAAAGAGCATAACGGCTTTAGAGAGAGTTTTTTACATAAAAAAAAAAGATAGAAGCCTGGAGAAGGGACAATATGTACAACATAGTAAATGCACAGTTGGCCTCTCATGTCAGTTAAGATTAAAACAACAGTTAAATGGGTCTTTGTTTTGTATATCGTCATAAGGCATCTTCGAATGTGATTTTTCGCTGAACACACGCATTAAAATACACATGTATTTCATATTTAGTTTAAAATTTTTCCCAATAAAAGCTTGTAGTGGTTGATTTTAATTTTCCGTTAATTTTGAAAGATTAATGATGCATGTCTCTACCAGACTTAACATGCGAGGCATAACATTCTTAGAAGAAGTTTACAAAAATAACATAACATATACATTCGATACGGTGCATTTATTATACTGATACAATTTTAATAAGTCTAGCTATTAAATTCGATAGAACAGATAATTATAAACATTAAGCACATTGAAACTTGACAATAGTTTTATGAAGGATAAAATAATTTCCACCCCAAACAAATACGAAAAACTTCTTCAGCATAGTGTGCATGCCAGCAAAAATGTAACCAAAACAAAGTGTTTTAGCCTCTTCCAAAAAAAAAAAAATAGAAACGACAATTAAACTTTATTCAATTACATTTAGAGGGGATTGAAGGAACTGCATACAGTCTTCAATTTATATATATATATATATATATATATGATTTACTTTCAATTCATATTTCATTTTCAACAGCCTTCAACTTATAAAATAAATTATACTTTGAATATACCATGCAAAACAAATCTTTTGACTGCTTTGGACTTCTATGATAAATTTCTAATATTGTTGATGATCTTTCTGTTTACTTATTATATGGATATTTTAGAAATTTATACACCTAATCATACATCACATATCTTCCCGTTTGTAGCATTAGAATTGGATCCATTCTTTTTGTTAGCTGTTTAAACTTCGCAAAAGTATGCTAATCTTTCGAAAATAATAACTGTTACAGTTCTAACTCAATGCGGTTAGATTTTCAATTTTACAACAGAATAGTGTAGTGTTCTTTAAAATGTGCTTGCATGACATTTAATAGCTGTTTAACCAGCTTATACTGTAATTATCTATTTGAAATTTGCTTGCATGACATTTTAAGAATTTAATTAGCTTGTTCTGTTAGTAACGATGTGTCCTTTTCGCATCGACAATTACCTAATAAGTGTTGCTAGTTAAATTCGCCCTATAATTATGGCAAGTTTGGGTACCCTCTTTTTAAAAAGACGAATATCTTGTTTTTCCATTTAAGGTAGCGTTATAGTCATATTCAGTAAAACTATTGATAGTTGTAATTAATAACTTTATCATTTAACAGATATCCGCACAAATGAAACACCTAAGTGCAGAAGCGATAAAAATGAAGCATTCTCAAAAGAGTTATATATAGTATTTGTTATTGGCTGTTCCTATGCTACACATATATTGTATGGTTAATAAATGGAGAGTGAAGTATTACTGTTGACACAAATATAAAGTATGACAATATTTATGTATATTTAATAACTATTCATTATAAAAAAGGTTATGTGCAATGCAGTAATGAAATGAATACGAAAGAAAATGGTGTTTTAATGATACATTTATGTTTTATTAGACTAATCATAAAGAAGTAAAATTTACATTTCAACTTCATATTGGCATTGGTGATTAGTTCCTTACTTTAAGCTAAAAGCTTATATTTTTATTTGATATTTAAAACATCCAGACTTCTAATTCATTACAGACATAAACTTTTATGTTTACACAATTTCACGTAACGTTCATAGTTAACGGCGTTTTTCTCACAATGACCTTATACTTTTATAAGCCTTGGAATGTCATGGCGGGAAAAAATTATATTTCTGTATTATATGAGACGACAATAAGGGAAACATATTCCCCAGAACTATTTTAAGAGCTTTCTGTAAAATAAGCATGGTAGAACATACTTTCTAGTCTATGTATTTTGAAATACACGAAAAATCATGAGCATTGATATGACAATAGTCTTGTCAAACTGCTCATTAAAGGGTAGCAACTTTAACTTATTTTTGCATAAATGCAAAAACATTACTCAAGATTTGAAACGAAACAATACATCTGACTTGGTAATTTTTTTTATTGCACATAAACCTGAGCTTTTAAAGAAATGCAATTTGACTATTTTATTGCGTAATATATGTAATTTTGAAAAAAAATTAATTTGAACCTCATATTCATTGAAAACGAGTACGGTTACTTATCTTTGTTCATGACTCTTTCAAAGATCCCACTAGTATCTACACTATATAGCAGAATAATGAAATAGACATTTGAATAAAAACTATTTTCCCTTAATGTAAACCAACAAAACAATCTTAGTTCAACAATTCCTACAAAAAAAGCTACACAAACCTGTTAAACTATTACAAGGGTGATATACGCATACGAGGAAATGTGTATTCCCATTCACGTCTGATTGTGCCTTAATATAAACAAAATGTCAATTAGAACCGCTTCCTTTCATGTATGATAACCAAAAGTCCAGACTCTGAGATGCCTCGACTGTTTAACTAATATAATTGAATATATGCTGAAAGTCTTAAAGATAAAGATGTTACTACAAGTATCACATCAACTAAACATTTACAATTAACCATGCCACACGGGCATATGCACCGTACAACCGATACAGCTTATGAAATAACCATGACACACAGTTACCAACGAAAACCACTAGTATGTATATAAAGAGACATTACAGAGGCTTATTTGGGTTTAAGTGTTAATGAAAGGACTCCCGCACCTTACCCTTTTGGTACATTATGTTGCCATTACTTTAGTGCATTAAGATTCACAAACCTTCATTAGCATTCAAAATATGAAGCGTGACGTCAAGTCGGCAAGGTGTGTCTGTGTTGATATTACAGTCGTCTATCATTTTCGTAAGGAATGATATGACCGCAGCTTCAAATGCTTCAGGATCAATGAGTATACTTGCTGCTATTGTTGTCAACATAATCAAAGAGCCTTTCCTCACAAACTTCTCCTTAAATTGTTCATCATTGTTTGATGGATTTCGAAGCGTTGCTTCTACTGCTTCTAGGTTCCAGTGCTCAGGAGTTTCTATTTGCCAGAGGACAGGACATTCCATTGCATCTAAAATCAAAATAGTAATTTTTTATATTTCTTATTTTACAATAAACAATCTCCATTATAATATAAGAAGATTCAATTTTGAAATATAACGTTGCCGTTAGTTAAAGGTAGTATTTTTTTTCTTCACTGCGTATATTTTCTCTAAAGGAATTCAACACATACTTAATATTAAACTTATTTCATATAAGACAAATATTATTTGCTACATATATAAATATATTCTACCTTCACATGTTTCTTCAGGTACAAGTAAGTTGACAGGTCTTTCATACTTCACTGACAGCGTTAAATTCTGTATGGCTCTTAATATTTCCACTAAAAATGGAATCAAAATTCAACAACAAAATAATTATAAAACATTTAGAATGTGCATATTTAAAACTTCTAAACTCACATGAGCAGACATAATATTAATCTTTGGGTTTTTTTTTTTTAATCTTTTGAACATTTGTTTTCTATTTTCTGCATTCAGACATTTAAAAGATAGGTGACACCAAGCAAACAGAGAAAATAAAAAAAAAATAAAAAAAGTACACATGAAATTCAACAAAAAACGTCATAAGAACAACGAGTTTGAATTTTTTTTTTCTGTTTAACATAAGCATTATTAACGTTACGTATAAATAAACAGTTTCAAACAGAGGAGCTTATTAGGGAAATTCATGAATGTACAATTCAAACCTCCTGATAAATCTTGCATGTCTTGTTTAATCTGGTATATTATTTCTGATCCTTTATCATATCTTTACGTTAAATATGTTGTCGTCCCAGCATACAAAGCCTCAAACAATGTTCTTTGTATATGTAAAATTATTTTTTGAAAGGATAACTACAGAACTTGAAATTCACAGTAAAACTGGAAATCCTACATCATTTACAAAAAAGAGAACTTAAAAAATCACAGTCCGTCCTTCTTTCTTTGATATGATGAGGAGAAAAGACGTTGAAAATATACTGTCTTTATTGAGAAATGAGAATAATTTGTGAATATGCATATTTAAAATTTCTAAACTCATACATGTATGAGCAGACATAATATTTAAACTTTCTTTTTTTCTAATCTTCTGAACGCTTTTAATTTCCAATAATAAAACAATGCGATTGATAAATAGAAATGGAAAAATATAGAGTATGGGGCTATTTTCGCCTCGCATTTCGTTGGCGGTTTGGACTTTAGATGGGACAATTCAATGTTCACGTTTCATGAACTAGTACAATGCATTTAAAGAACAGTTTAATGTTCGCATCGGGTAAATTTTGCGGTAAGATGTCGTCCACGAAATGAAATCTGTTTCATATCTTGATTTTTTCCTCCATATTAATAGAGATGGACGACTTCAAACAAGAATCTATAATAAACATGATGATTTCAACTTTAAAGTAGTCAATTTCCTATTTTGCAGCAGTAACATACCCTTTTGGTATGGCATTGACATATCGCTACTAGAACGTTACTCTTGTTTACGCTATACGGCCTTCATTCATAGGGATAAGCTCAATGAAAAACAGTGCTCCAACACAATCATGAGGAAGAACGACTAAAATTGATTTTTCGATAGGTTTTATAATCAACATCACGAATTGATTGACCATTTCTATTTGTCTATGTCTGAACTGTCTGGCGACAGGTTTATTGCGGCCATAAGAGACATATGACTGTAATTTTACTATGTTTCTTGTTACTAATTGTGACATTTTGACTGAGTGTGGATTCGCTTGTTGGTTGGTGTATGCATAGCAGGAGATTCTTACCGTGTCGACGTACCGTTCCTCCTCCTTGGAGGTTTTAAGCAATTCTCTCAGTTTTTGTTCGTGACCTAGATTTTGTATTTTCTTAACCGATTTATAACAGTTAAGCTTCAATAAACTACTGTTGCCTAAACTTATCTCGTATAAAGATATGAAGCTCATGTATTGTCTTTTATTCATTTTAGAGTAATAACTTTCCGATCTGAGATAATGAACAGAACATAACATCCTTGCCTTGTGTTTTCTCTTGGTTTTCCTTGACTTCCTTGATATCTGTCCTGGTTTCATGCAGCTGATTTCCTATTTGTTGAAAACGGCTTTCTTGAGATTCCATCACTTCTTCGACCTCGAATTTGATACAGTTTTCTAATTTCTCCTCTGTATTTTGTATTTTTTCTGAGAGTGCTTGTTGGGCTTGTGTTGCCAAAACTCTTGTTTGTTCAGTAGTATGTTGTTTGATATCTTCTGTGTTATTGAATGACATATTTGTAAGTCTGCTTTCCATACCTTTAAAATGCTTGAAATTGTTATTACAGGAGGATTTCAATTCTACTAAAACCTGAAATAAAACAAAATATGTATTGCCAATTTTGATTTTATATATATATATAATTAAGATGGAGAATGTGACTTTAGTACAAGCTACGTTTTTTTTTTTCTTAAAAGATACCATTAGAGTTACTTGTAACATGTATAAAACAAATTTTACATGTCTATCATCTCACTTATTTTTTATGTGCTCCATGATCATCTGTGTTGATTGTGTACTAAGCGCGTTCAGTAAACTCCGGCAATGAAACACGAAAGTAAATAAGCAGGTAAAGTTTTCATTGAAACAAATATTTTTATCGATAATAAGTTATGAATTCGTAATAACTGTAAAAATACAATTGTGCATGGAGGACTTAGGTTGTATACATGCATTGGATCAATAATGTCCTAAAAATTTGAGAGACTCGTTTTATATGACTTTAAGATTTAAAGTGCACAAGATACGAGTTTTTAAAAACTTTAATTTGTCGCCAAAGCATCGTTTAATATTATATTCTAATCAAATAATTCGAGTTCATATAAAGCCAAATCGAATTTTTCCTCGCTATGACATCTATAATTCGCTTATGGTTAACATTTAAAGTGTTTTAAAAAAAGATTTCTTGAGACAGAAACAGACTGTTCATATATGCATGCATGTCTATTATTTTATAAGAGCCGAGGGGTCAATTTTTTTTATTGAATATGCATTAATGAAATTGAAATCGCTTATCTCAGACTATAAGATTGTAAGACTTAAGGGAAAATATTTGCTAGTCACTTTTCAGTCGACTCCTACAAGAACTTTATTTTTATTCTTAGAAAAAGCATTAAATAAGTAAAAAGGGCTATGATAGGAAACTTGAACTATATCTGCCATAATTTATTACACCAAAAATAATTATTGATAAAATTCAGAACGAGTGAAAACCCACTTTTAACTGAATTTGGTAGATATACGAAAGTCCAAAGAAAAGATAGGATTTGTCCAGTGCCTAGATAATAAGATGATAAAATCCATTTCTGTTTAAAATGTAAGTTTAGTAATAAATGACGAAAGTGACCCAATTGTTTGGTATAACTAAAATTTTAATAACATTGAAAAGATACGCTTAAAGATTTCATCCATCAATAGATTTCCAAGTAATCAGGGTCTTCATCATTATGAATGAGAATGAAAGACCTTCAGACTAAAAAATTGAGTGCTATAAAGAAGTTAATTGTGTGATATATATAATATAATTATGTATTTTTCTTTGTGGTTTATGTTACCTGTATACTTATTTATGCTCAGCCCCGATTGGGCTCACTGAAAACGTTTATTATTTATATATAACAAAATTTTTTTGCATACATCATAGAGAATCATTCTTTGCACATATTTGCCGTGGATCAAGCATTTTGCTTGTAGCAATAAACAATTTTAATGCAAAAAATTATTTGAGGGGAGTGGGGTAAACTATGAAAGTTACTTTGCCTATAACTACGAGTCAGACTTAATAGGGCATGGATGGTATTGCATACTTTAGATATATATGAGAACTATCTTCGGACCTTGATCATTAATAAAATCTAGTTCATAAGTATAGAAGTGCAAGATTGCTAACTAGCCTTGATGTATTTGAGTAGTATATCGAGCGCAGTATCTTTAATTATACATACAATATTGACCTCCTCAGCGTTTTTCATCAATTCTGTTATTTCTTCCTTCTCTAAATCAGCTTTGCGCAATTGCTTGATTTCTTTTCGGATGATCCGTTTGAAAGACGGATCCACTAGATCTATTAAAGCATTCTCTAATTCAGTCCACGCTGTATTCAATAAGGCCATGGGATAGCAGTTCATGGAATAAGCATGGCAAATCTGACTTCTTGTGGTGGTAATTATATCCAATGAAGTGGTTTCGTTTTGGGATAGTATGGCCAAATTCCGAAGAAGAAACGATATTGTACTAATATCAAGTTCGTGAATCGCAATGTTTCGTGTGACATATTTGTGTAGACACACTTGTACAATATTTCTGCTATTACGGACAATATGTCCCCTATTCTCAGTACCATTATCTTCATAAATCTTTTTAAATATCCAGTTACTCATGTGACTCATTCGTTTAAGATTGCAACCTGCTGCTGGGCATGCGCAACACAATAGCTTCTGAGATTGCCAGAGATGGAATAGTTCATGTTTTTTGTCATCAAGATATTGTTTAAAATTTCCGTTGTATGTTGGTAATAGTTTATATTTAGCAAAGGCAGTGAGAACGTCCGTACCTGTGTCGACAACACATTTATAAAGGCGTAATAAATCCCGTGCCTCGGGTGTGTTGGTACTCATTGCAGCGGTGAGTTGGGTACATTGATATCTGATGACACATAACACTTTGAAGATGCTTTCAATTGTTTTCACTATGGAAATGTTCTCTCGATTGTAAAAAATAATGCTGCAAAAACAAATCGAAAATCAGCAGTCTGTGTAACTTTCCATATGCACATCAAAAATGGCTCATTAATAGTACTGGTCAACGTCGCTTTCCATGAATGCAAAACGAATGATTATATGTATTTATCCATCTACTATTGTTTAGATGGCTTTTCTTTTTAATGTCTTCCAACGTTTATGTTGATACGCAATGATAAGAGTTATTTGTGTGATCATACAAGGAAGTTTATCCAAAAATAGATTTAATTTGTTGAATTGTGGGTACTAGGTAGTCCATTGTATATCTGTTTAACACACCTTTTAGTGATTCAACCGATATAATACCACATTTAAATAACAATGACTGCAAGTTTGGTTGATATGTCATAAATTTAAACAAAATTCATTGTGACATATTCATAATATTCCTTCTTTCTCACATTAAAAAAAACAAGGTTAAACATGTTAAAAGGCAAAATATTCCATGAAGGGAAACAGAAACCTTTGTATAGACAAATGTAGGCAGTAAAATTTCATTGAGGATATCAGGCTGATAATTTGGTACACCAGACGCGCGTTTCGTCTTATATTTCGTTTTGGTAATATAAAATTATATTCATTTAGTGATCATTTCAATGTAAAAAATCATCAAAGATACCAGGCTTTCAATTTGGCACGCCAGACGCGCGTTTCGCTTACATACGACTCATCAAAACAGTTTGAATTGCTATTGCAAGCAATAGCGGATGTCATCCACCCCCATTGCCACGGTAACGGCAGCCAGTTTGTATTCCAAAGTCGATAGCCAGATATATATAAAAACGGTATGACAGTTAGCATTTCTGTAAAGTTTCGTTAAGTATGAAGCATTTTGAAATCATTCACATTTTTGTCGTTTTCATGGCAACAGAGGCCATTTTGGAAATTCCAAAGTCAAAAGTCTCTGATATTTAGCAAAGGCAGTGAGAACATCAGTACCTGTGTCGACAACACATTTATAAAGGCGTAGTGTCAAAAGTATGCTTGCCAGTTAAAATTTATATTCAATTTCATTGAGTTTGGAACATTTGAAATTTTTGACATTTTTGCAGTTTTCATGGCAACGGTGGCATTTTGGAAATTCCAAATTCAAATGCCACATCTACATATGCAAACTTTTTTCAGTTTCGATGGCAATACAGTAGTTCTGGAGATTCTCATAATCATCCAAAACCAGTATATAGTGGACACCTATGTTGTATAAAAATTTGATGATTTTAAGTTCAGGCATACTCCAATTATTCACCAAAAACAGAAAAAAATATTTTTCGCATTTGTTCTGTTTCCATGATAACGGCGGCCATTTAAAAGTTCCAAAGTCTAACTGCACATCTAAATATGGTGCTTCTCATTATGCTGATGTTTTATCAACATTGGTCCAGTAGTCTTACAGAAAAGCCAGGGACAAAAAGTGGAGGTCTAATAATGATAAAAAAAAGAAACGGAGGAACAGTCAAATGTCCCGACATTGTCGATTGGGTGACATAATAATAAGTTGAAGAGCTTTATAACCGACAATTTCGCAAAGTTGTGCCAAATACGGCTAAGTCTATATATACCTGGGGGTAGAAAAACCATATTGTTTTGAATATTTCAACATTTTATAAACAGTAACTTTAAAGTAAATATAGATTTGCACAAACGTTTGCAAACTATTTCAACATATTTTGTTTCATTGATATTGACCTCATATCTCTATTGTTTTATTGTTTTGTATTTTGTCATATGGTTTGTATCATTGAGTGCTTAAAATTAATACTTCAACTTGGTAAAAATAAAAACACATCGGTAAAATTGTAATTATTCATTTCTAAAAATAAATTCTATAAAGGAACACTATTAGCGTTATAGTTGCAATATAAACGAATTTCAAAACCATTACATTAGGATAAAAACATTCAGGTTAATAGATGAAGAAAGTGTGATGCAGCATATGTGTACAGTACTAGTGTATTTTGATCATTTTGCTTGGTTCACAGAACTACAACTCTGTCATAATTTTGTTGTTTTTGTTTATGGGGGTACTCCTTTTTTAGAGTGGATTTATTAGTTTTTCTTGTTTTGTGTTTTCGGTGGGGGATGGGTTGTGCACGTTTTCCTGTTGCATATTTGAGTAGTGAATTGAATACGCCGATTCCGATTGTTGATGTTTTGGTTTTGGTTTGATTAAGTAGTCAAGCTATAGCTGCGTGGGATTCCTATCTTTTACCCGACAACTTTCTTGTGCGATTTTGGTAGTTCTCGCGATATTTATGGCGTAGCGGATCAAGAGATTTATATTACCTTATAGGAATACGTTATAAATGAATTGAGTTTATCCTTCAATATAATTCACATTACCTTTTTAACAAATCAATTATCATCATTATTTCAATAATTTAATAGTACATTCATCCATCTACATATATTTTCCTCCACCCTTAAAATAATTTATTTGTATGTAATTCAAGAGAGTTATTTTTTTCTCTATACGTGTATATAAAAATTATAATAACCAGGTTAAAAACTGGAGTTACATAGGTACCCACATAACATTTGAATTTAAAAATAAGTATACAAATAAATATATTAATACAGTATTGAAATATTGATGATAAAAGAAAGAGAGGCGAAAGATACCAAATGGATATTCAAACTCGCACGTCGAAAACAAACAAACAATGCCATGGCAAAAAAACGAAAAACGACCGAAAGACAAACAATAGTACACAAAACACAACATAGAATACTTTATTGATTAAATAAGCCTAATAAAAATATCAAACTCCAAGGTAAATTCATAAAGGAGACGTACATAAAATCTGACAAACTCGAACGTTGGACTTTATCAACAAAAGAAACGAACGGAAAACAACCGTCATATTCTTGACTCAGTACAGGCATTTTCCAAAGAAAATGTTGTATTAAACCTGTTTTTATAGCTAGTTAAACCTCTCACTTGTATGACAGTTTATAGTTCCATATTGGCAACATTGGGTGAGCAAGCCTTGAATTGATTGCATACTTAAAAGGGTATTCTGAATTATATTGAGGATAAACTTAATCAATTCATAAAGTATTCCTACTTTATAAGTTTCGTGTATCTGAAGCGCTTTTCTGACTTAACCTTCATCATGAACGTTCAAACCAACACATTTGAAGCCAATGTATATGATTTTACTGTTGGACAAAATGTCTTTAGAATTGTTCTAATAACAGTACAATCAGCTCTTCTCATGACTCTGAACCGTCTTATTGATAAAAGTAATAATTACACCATAGATGTTAAATCATTGCGGTTGCATTTTAGGACGTGGTGCACGAAGTGCAAAACCTGCTTATAGTATTTATAGTATGGTGATGTCGGGCGGTTTGGGGAGATCGGAAGAAATGGATACCTATTTTGTGTTATCAACTCCTCCTATAGGTTTCAATCCAGATCCTTAAAACATCTTAAAAAGGTGACACGTATACTTGATTTTCACACCTGATATAACGGAATTGTTTGAAGAAGTATTACCACTTTTTGCCAGAATTGGGAACTGAGTCTTTTTTCCAGCAAATTGTACAAAGACAGTTTCTTTATGTGTAATCAGCTCCTTATACAGTTTTCAACCTACATCATTGTAGCCTCACAGAATGATTGTACATATATTGAAGTTTTGTACCTCCTATTGTGGCATGGATTGGGGACTTTCCCTGATTTTTTTCGTGACTTTGGACGTTAATCGTATTAGTCTTTTAAGTACTGTTTTCAATAAACGATACCTGTAGTTGTTTAAAGATCCCCCATATTTTGCACTTAATATTTAAGTTAATATATTTAAATTTCATTGTTGTCCATTTCCTAGTGTTTGTGAAACATTTTGTGCAACCCGGTCGTTTGAGTCTAGTGGATATATATATCAAATCACGTGTAGACGAGTCAAAATTAGATTAACATACGTTATTACTGTTTTCGAATCTGTATTAATAGAAATGATGTGGGTGTTGCACAATGTGGCGTTTTCGGCACTGTCTGAAATCTACTTGGAATTAATGTTCTTGCCAATGGCCTTAATTTAGATAAAATGTATGTGTTAGCTCATGACTTTTCAATAATGATGAGCACTCTTTTCTACGCTATTACTGGTGATGTTATATTTGTGACTATGTTTTAAGGTCTTTCTGTTTTTTGGTTTTTTTTTCTGGTTTATAGAGAAACATTCTTTTTATAATCGTGATGTTGATGCCCTTTTTCTAAAGCGATTCTATTTCATCAGTAGTTTTAATATTCGAGTCTGCATAATATGAAATGAAATTGTCTTTCCATAAGAAATAATCTCGTGCGTGTAACAAACATCCATGCATCGATAATAAAGTAATGACCCTAAATGAATTGGACACAACCCACAACGCAAATATAAGATACTAACAGACTAACTCCCTTTTAGGATTGTTAAAATTGATGAAGGATGATAAAGTTGTCCATTTATTAAGAATCAACAGGAACAATAACCCCTTCTCTAACTATAGTGTTATCAAAAGGCACACGTGTCATCACCGGTTATTGGTGAGGTTCGTGTTGCTCTGTCTTTAGTTTTCTATGTTGTGTTTTGTATACTTTTTCTTTTTTATCATTTTTCATTTTTTGCCATAGCATTGTCAGTTAGTTTTCGACTTATGAGTTTGAATATCCTTTTGGTATATTTTGCCTCTCTTTTACAATATTCTCTATAACAAAAATATCCGAGTCTATATATGCTTTTTTTATTAGCTTGCCTGACCTGAAGGGTCATAATCATCCTTGTGGTATTTAGTTTACAAATTGTATCCGACGACTCCGCTTGCCAACTAATCTGGCCGAAATGGCTGAAAATTATCTTGAAAATCGCTATAGATACAGAAAAATCTGACATGAGCAGAAATGTTGAGAATATTGAAATCTACTTTCTGTCAAATTACATCAAAACTGTCAGGCGACTTTTTATAGAAGTAATTGGCTTTAAATGATGAATTTTAACATTTTTTTTTTTCATTTTTGTCTTTTATCTTGAAAACTTTAACTAAAATTGATAGAGAAAATTCTAAATAGCAAAAATTACCAGCAAGACAAGATTTACAAATAAGATTACTTGACCAAAATCGTCTTATTAGAGTGATTGCCCATTAATGATAATCTTTTCCGATGGTGTATGTTTTTACCTATTATGTTGAAAACTATATTACATAAATAGATACTT